AAAAAAAACACATGCCCCCCCCCCCCCCCCCCCGTATTTATCTGTCTCTGTAGAACTTGATCCCCACAGGCTTAGAGCAACCACTCATCTAGTGACATTATTAAAGTAAATAAAAGCTAACTACAGAAAGCTCAGATTTTGGAAATAAAAAGGCATCTATCAATTCTGATTTGATACATGCAGCTCTCTACACCTATACACACAAGTACATAACAGTGCATATACATGTGCGTATACACGTACACAGGCTTACTTTCATAAGACCCTCCTCTTCAATACAGGAAACCTGTATTTTGAGGGGTTGAGTATGCCACACCTTTTTTTGCCCTTATCCTTTCAAACTTTCCTGCAGGTTTGAGCAGGGCACCTGAAACGGCCGAGTTGTTCAAAGCAGCTCAGAACAGATCCGACGCACGATTTTGTGTTCTTCACAGGCAAGGAGACAGTTAAGGGGTTGTCTGTGTCTGTGGTATGGCAACGGAAACTCTCAAGCAGTAAAATCCATTACGAACAAAATAGAGAAGTTCCAGGGAATGGAATTTGTCTGAACAGAACAACGAAAGACGAGCACTTATCTTTTTGCGGAACATCCGTATGAAAGATGTGGCATTCTTAAAATATCTTGATAGTCAGTTATGAGTAGGACTATTCATCCTACACCCTACTTCTGCACACAGGAAGGAAAGAGCTAATAGCAGAAGAATTTTCTTTCGGCGGTGGGAACAACTGCATGATGATTATCCCCCACCCTGTGTGGGATTCCTTTGGAGATCAAGGATGCCCTGGCAAGCGTTGGGGCATTACTACATGTTTGTGGAAGTCTCTCAGCTTTTATTAATTAAATTCCTGACAACGCAATAAAACCCTGTAGCAGAAAGCCACGCTGCTCATTCCTTAATCATATGAAATCATTCACCATTTTATGTACAAGTTTTGAATTACAATCTTCAACTTCTCATCAGAAAAAAAACCAAAAAGCCTAAAAAAAGCATTTTTGGCAGAACTGCACAGTGTACAGAAGCATACTTTCAATTACACAATATCTTACAGAACACATACTGTAACAAAAAGCAGAGCCTGTTACCTTTTCTGAGAAGGCAGTGCCCAGAGAAAAATAGATGTTTCACCTCCATTATTAGAGGAACAGCTTTAACTGGACAAAAGAATACATGAAAAAAATTCCTGAACACTCCAGATAGCTTAACAGAAAAATAAAAGTACATTTGTAAACAACTTTAAAACAAGAGCCTTATGAAATAACAAAGGTCACTGAAAGTTAAGCTGTTAAAACTCTTCTTAGCCCAAACCACTATATTCTACCCTTCTAGTTTTTCTTTATGATACACAGATTTTGCCACACATAACACTTCACCGAGAAATATGGGCAAATACTTTTTCAATTTTTGGTGGAATTAAGAAAGGGACAATTTGAAGGCAAAAGGTCAAACTCCAAATTCCCTTTGAAAATTACATGAGCAATATAACCTAACTATCGAATGGAGCCGAGTTCAACAGTGCATGGTAGCACAGTACTTATTTTACAGTCTGAGACCCTTTTTAATGTAAACCCTGAAAAGTCGCAAGCAACTGTTAGAACAGACTTTTGTATTAGGTACTATTAAGTTAGCATTGCATTCACTTCCATTATTCAAACTTTGTCATAAAGTGACTTTTTATATACAATTCTGATTCACCTTAAGCATATCTGTTTTATGACAAGGCAAACTGTAAAAACTGTCCCGGGAAATGATTTTGTGTATGTAATTATCAACCATGCATCTGAAGTTGAGCATTAGTATCTATGCTGCTCTACTTCATGCTTCAGCATATGTTAAGTAAGCTGCTGATCACCGAGTGTGTCCATTTTGGTAGATGGACAGATGTATGCGAACAGCAATGCTTTGGATAACTTGTGCTATTCCTAATACTACAGTTATTTTCTCTGCCAATTACATTTTGCTATAAATATGTGTGCCCTTAAGTTGATCCCACTATCAGTTTCAGCTAACTAATCAAATTATCTGCTAAGGTTTTGGGAATGATAACCCTTCCTTTATTTAAATAAAATGAGGGAAGGGTTTCTAACTCCCAAAGGTTTGCCAACAATAGATTTATTTTCAGGACAGGATGACACCATTCAGTAAACTGTTTGTCATCTTTGTTGTTCACGGATAAGCACAATAGTATTAATGTTTTTTATCAGGTAGGCAGGAAGGGGAAGAGAAAATACTGTGAGGTTTTTATCCTTAATGTTTTTCCAAGTTCTGCTCATGGTCTCTTATGAATAATTATTCATTTGAAATAAGCATTAAGTCAAATGTCAGTTTACTTCTCTTACATTTTTAGGGCTTAGCAGCTAAACTTCAATTTTCTGTTTTGCTTTTGCAAAAGAGTGTTATTAAAACCCTGCCCACAACTGAGTACACCAAAAGCTTATGTGAGGAATAATTTCTCATTATACTTAGAAGTGCCTCATTTTTGTACCAGTTAAAAGTTAATTCATAATCCAAATAATCAATCTGCAATGTAAACAAAGTTATTTTCTCCCATGAAATAATGGTAAATAATGACACTCATCATTACATATTCTGCTTGAGTTCATTAAATGCAGTTCTTCAGTGACAAAGGCAGCAGGCATTCTTTGGGACATCCTTTGAACTATGTTCAAATGAGTGGAATAACAGAGATTCCTGATGGAGATCTAAGCCATTTCCCTCATTTTCTTAATAGCTTCTGCTATTTGCATACTGAACTCCATTTCATAATTTGCTATTTAAAGTAAATTCATTTCCACAAACCCTTCTCTCCCTATGTAAAACAAATTTATTTACATATATGGTAAATGCTTTTCAGCAAGTAAATTGTAAGGAAAAAAAAAATCCAAGAAGTGGTATAAAGGGAGCGAGCATTTAAAGTTTTGTATTAATTTGCTTTCTGAATTTCCTTCCAAAGATGCTACAGGGACAAAAGCTTTAAAGGTTTCACACACACTTTCACACATTTTTGATTCTTTCTCTCTTTTATACAAGGGACCAACTTTGCCCAGTGAACCACCTTCATAACTTTTGCCCAGCAACTAAATGAAACTGCATGGCATTTCCCCCAAGAAAGTAAAGAAAATACAGCCTTTTACTTCAAATATTTTATGAATGCAAGATTACAAGAAACGTATTAGTCAAAATGCAGGGCTATCAAGCACTGAACCAAGAATGCTGGCATCAGTTTGCCTACCATTCTGCATGTGGAAAAAATACACTATGTCTACAGGTAAAAGGCATCACTAATGCATCATGAATTACTCTGGTCAGCCAACATCACCTCTGCAGCTTGGTGCATGTTTCAGTCCTGAAAATAATTGTCATATTAATAGTTTGAGATGAGACACTGAAACAAAACCATTCTTGAACAGGAAAGTTTTTGTTTTGCTCTTACCAAGGTAACACCAAAAACTAAAAACAAGATCTTACAATTTAGCAGCCACTTTAACACTTGTTAGGCTAGCCTTCACACAAGGAGCATGCATACAGCCACTGTTCTTGCTTTAAATTGAGGGCTGTTGGTTAATTCAAGTCACTGTTTCCTCACCTTATTCGATTAACCTGTTGAACTGGATGTCCACCATAGGAAAAAGAAAATTAAATGATGTTAAGTGTAGCAGACAAATACAGATCACACCAAGAAGCTAACACTCATGAGTTGTCATAATAAGGGATAATAATAACAATAAAAAAAAAGTATCAGTCTTTTCTGTGCATATTTTTCATTTGAAAGGTCCCAGGAAATCATGATGTGCCTGGCCGTTTCTGTTGCTGATTTCTGATGACCTCTAATTGTTTTTTGCATTGCTGATAGTAAGTTGAGAGACTTTTGTTTTCATCTAACAACTTTTTATGTTCTTGTACCAGACGGGATGTGTTTTGCTGGTCTTTTTCATCCTGGTCCAGTTCTGCTATTAGTTCTTGTCTAAAATAATAATAAAAAAAAAGTAATTATCATTTATAATCTACTTCTATTTGTGTGTAGATGACTTCATATGTTTCAAATCAGTATCTCATTATCAGTCTGAACTCATGGCTGCTGATATTTTGTGCAGAAAAAAAAAGTTGACCAAAAAAAAAAAAAGTCTTATTCTTTACTGTAGTCTGGGGAAAAATTCTCTTCCAAATCAAATCCACATTTAAACTTTAAAATAGCTGAAAGCCATAGCCTCAATCTCTAAAATTGTCCTTTATATAAAGTCTTTCAGACGTAGTTCTACAGGTCACAGTGAAAGATCTAAGGATGCACACAGAATTTCATAAATATATTCAACTGTAATTTTGCTTAACTATACATACATTTAAAAGCTCAAAAGGCAACTTAAAAGACAAAACTGCAATATTTTGGTAACTTTTTAGTGAAGTGCTGTTTTCTATTTGGTCATGAACTTCTTAAAGCAGTGGAAAAGTAGAATCAAGCAAATTATTTTTGTAACTGTCATTTCACTTAATTTATGCCATAAGTGTTCAATATGTTTTTTAGCAACAATTTTAGATGAACACACACACTGATAAATTTGCTATAAATTATCCTGCAAAACTAATGTAGCAGTTTGTTTTACTATTTGTTTATGAGGTGACAAGAAGGCAAGCTGCCAGCAATATTTTAGCAACGAAATAGTAGAGGAGAAAGTTCATGTTAATTAATTGTTGCCATATGGTTTGTAATTACAGTTAAAGAAAACTTAATCATTCTATAAAGGTTGAACTAATAACTACCTTAACCAGCATTAACTTCATCAATCACGATACTATTTTTTGTTTTAACACCTATGGGCAATTATGTTCTGACTAAGAAAAAAGTTTGGAGAAATGTGTATGCAGACTTCCTAGAAAAAAAGATAAAGTAGGAATCTAAAGGTACAGAATTAACAGTTTTGAAACAGAAACACATTTTTATATAATTTATTGACCCTTAGGGACAACAGAAATAAAACCAAAATTAAGATCTTCACACTAGCTTCAGTATCTCCTCATGAAGTCTAAAAATTCTAGTTGCACTTGAAAAAAACATTGCTCTCAAGATGCTAAGCCAAAAGTGAATAGATGATAGGAGGTCGATCTTACAGTAGCTTTTTTCCCCGTTCTGTATGCTATTTCTAACGTACAAAAGGTTTATACACACATTTTTCTCATCAGCTATTCCACAAACACCAAGGCAAGCTCCTCATTAAGAACCTGCTTGCCTGCAGTGGCTCAGGCACTGGTAGGTAACAAGCTGGTTACTTGGTCTAGCATGGGAGTATATATGACCTCTCAGAACTGCTCCCCAGCGTCAGGAAACAGAAATGATGAGAAGCGGAACACAACAGAACGTACTGCAAACTGAAGTTCTGAATCAGCAATAACTTTGGCCCTAATCCAACAATACGTGCAGTTGCTTCACTTATATGTGTACACAATGTAAGAGGAAAGAGTTTATTTCTAGTGCACAAGGATAAGGTACGTAATGGCTTCTAAGTATGAGGTCCTAAACCCCTGGCAGGAAAAACACAAGATATGTGTTGATAATACTGTTGTAAATGCAATGATTGACAAAAGTCAGATATAAGATAAAATCTGACTGCAAAATATGTTGACATATTACTCAAAATTCTATAATCCATTATCCAAGTGATTATCTACAAATTACAATTGAAAATCTTTTACTGGACAGCGTTGGAAATAAAATTCCAAGGTTCCTCAACAGTCCAGGTCTTTCATTTGAGATGATACAAACAAATATTACTAGTATGTTACATACACAGATGTGCCACACACTTCAAAGTAGTACTTGTCCAGAAAAAGAGTCTTGATATTGATTAAAACTTTCAATTACCTGCTCTAAATATCTCACCTGTACTGAGCAGCTCAGTATTTCTGAGATTAAGGCTAGAAAATAATTACGCCCTATGAAATGTTACTTCATAAAGCCAGAAATAATAGTCACAAATAACAGACTTCGTGTAAAAGAAACATACAGAAGAACAGAAAAGATTAAACACGTCACTTACTTCCTCTGCAACAGCAATGCAATTTCTGTCTGAACTTTCATATATTCTTGTGCCATTTTGCAGTGCTGTTCAAACACAGCCATAGATTCTTTGGAGTTTGGGCATGGTGCTAGAGGCTGAAAATAAATCAGACATGTTAAAAACTAATGAACTGATATCTTAGTATATAGTGTGTTAGAATGTCTCTGCAGTGTATTTATAACGTCTTTTAAAAACCAGTAAGCTTTTAAAAATAAGCATCAAACCATGCCCTGGAAAACGTTACTGCACTGATGTCAAAGTTGACTCAAACCTCAAACCTGCAGTTATTAATCTGATACTCTCTCTGTCACAAAAATCAAAGTAGTGTTTAATCCCCCACACAACAAATAAAGTGAATACAATTTAATTCAGTAACACCCAAGCAAATAATGTCTTATTTTGACAGTCAAACTAAGCTTACATTTGGTTTTAGGGATCATGTTTCCCAGGGCTTGTTTTTAATAGCTTGATCAAATCTCAGTCAACCAATCTCAGGTTACATAATATATTTTTTTAGCCTTGGTCAAAAGTTAGAATATAAACACAGGTAAATATGCGGCACTATATTTTGCAGCCCAAAATTCACACATTAGAATGAAATGCAAGATAAAGAATCTAATAAAGCATGTATTTATTACCTGTAACTGATGATCTAATGTAAGATATGCCATTGGGATGGAGTTATCTGACCCATTGGTCTCTGTAACAATACCAAGAAATTGGTCAAAAGTTAGAATATAAACACAGGTAAATATGCGGCACTATATTTTGCAGCCCAAAATTCACACATTAGAATGAAATGCAAGATAAAGAATCTAATAAAGCATGTATTTATTACCTGTAACTGATGATCTAATGTAAGATATGCCATTGGGATGGAGTTATCTGACCCATTGGTCTCTGTAACAATACCAAGAAAATTTTAATGTATTTTCAGTGTTAATTCTATTCTTATAGGACAAAAACAAGAATTCTAAATCATTTCACAATACAAAATCTGAATGTGGAAAGGCAAATGGAAATAGCAGCGTTCCAATCCCAAGGCAGATGAATCATTTTGTTTTTCTGATAAAGTTAAGAACTTCAAAAGTATGGTTTATCACACCAAGAAGAAATAAAGATTAAGGTTATCATCCTACACTTCTAGAAGCCATGTAACAGCATACAGACTTTAAAAATGCTATTTTTGTACAGTTTGCAATCACATTCTCTATTTATATAAAAATTGCCATTTCATTCTTGTTTATGAAGGATCAGCCAGCCAGCCCATGCATCTAATGATTTTAAAATTAGAAGCTGTGCAAACCAGCTCTGCCAAAATAAAATAAGCACAACCTCCTGCTCAGTTTTGAAACCTGCTCCCAGTGAGGTCTGTAAGTATCTTCCCCACAACATGCTCTAGGGCATCTTCTGTGCTCTGTAGAGATACTTTGCGGGTAGCAAGGAACCCAATAACCAATCTATCTCCTGGGCCTGGCTGCTCTCATCTTACACTGCAGTTACTCTGGATTTCTCTAGTGCTTTCATTCCAGATTTAACGTGTTTCTGAATTCTCATAGATCGTATCTTTTGGTAGCCCACAATCTGGGGATCACAAGGTTACTGTTAAGCTTTAAGAGACACAGGAGTAAAGACACATGGAGAAACTACTGATTTTATAGCTGCATTATTGCTACTAGAGGATTATATGGAGGAGGGTAGGTGGGGAAAAAAAAGGGGCTGCTTACCCATACCCCAAAAGCACCTGCCACAGAGTAGTCGTGGTAGAGAAACTAAGGTGTTGCCCTCAAAGACTATGCTATCTCCAAGAGCAGCTTCAAAAGGAAACAGAAATAAGAGGGTGGGAATGGAGAAAAAGTGGTTAAGTGTATGCTTGTAAGGAAACTGGAAGGTGGTAAAAAAAAAAAAGTAAAAGAAAACCACCCTAAAATCAGAGACTTAATCACCACAGTATCTTAAATGAGAACAATATAAAAAGTCCTTCCCTACATTAGACTATTGCCATATATGGAATACTGCTACAGCAAAGGAATTATTGCAATGTTTCAAATACATCAATACATGCAAAATACTTCCGATTACATTCCTGAGCATTTCAGCACTGTCACAGAACTCTAACTTTTCCTGTGACTGACCAGATTCAGCTGCATCCTCATTTTATTATTTTGCCTCATTAACTTAAAAACGTACCCTCTTTTACAGAAAACTAAAATTATTTCTCTCTTTAGAAATTCAAACAATTCTTTGTTCATGGACTGCATAAACCTAACAAGAAAAAAATATACATGTGGTACATTCTGTATTTACCTGAGTATAAGGTGAGGGATTTCTGTGGGCCAGAAAACGGACCTGACTTTTAGCTCTAGTGCTGTGCTGCATTTAAGGCCAAAGACTTGGAACAAACTGCCTTTGCACTGGCATACGATCAGCAATTTTCAGTTCCCAGTGAACTACCGATTGGGTAAGAGCTTGCTTCTGTGTGAGGCAGCCTAAAGCAGCTCCGGACCCATGCTACACAAAAGAGGGCACGAGGTGGGCTGTGGCAGTGGGCAAGGGCTTTGGAAAATTATGAGTGATAAGGCATAGAGTGCAATCGGGCAAAGTGACAATGGACAGAAAGAAGAAAGCACAGAAGCAAAATACAAGAGTATGTTGCCCTCCTCCCACTAAAACAGGGGGAAAAAAAAAGTACACATCTTACATACAGGATCACCTTATATTTGGTAAAATACAAGTGTGCATATACGTACATATATAGATATATATACATATAGGTATATATGCTTGTGCAAGAGTCAGTCCACATGTGAGTTTCAATTTTGCAGTTGGTTACAGGAAAAGAACGAAAGAGTCTGATCAGCCAAAGATGAGACGGATCACAAGGTTTCAGAATTTGAGGCACTATGAGGTACCAGCTTGAGACTAAGTTTAAGATTCAACATGTACATTTTGGTAACAAAAATGTAATTCTTATTTACATTCTAAAAAGGAATTTGTGGGGATCCATTGTTTTCATGCAGTCCAGTACTGGTTCTTTTCATAACAGAGTGCATTATAACTTTTAAAATTGAATTCAACTATTACATTATGTTCATTCTTAATCCTATTTCATAACAAAAGAACAGTGATGCTACAGTAGAAGTATTTACAACACTTCTGCAGGCACACTTATGTTAGTTCATTTAAAAACAGTAAGATTCTGTGCACATGTACATTCTGCATAGGCAAAATTACAACACAGATAAAAAATAGAATGAATGTATTCCAGCTGATACTCACCTACATAGCATCTCATTCCAGAAGTCAGAGCAATGAAAACTTTAACTGTGCATTCTTAATACAAATGCACAAGTCTAAAATGCTCTAAGATGTCTATTCCCTTAATTCCCCCAAACCACACTACAGCCAAAAACTGGTGCTAAAAGATCTGCATTAAATACTATCACTGCATATGTACAGTACTGTCTTACAAGCAAAATGCTTACAAGTTTATGTACCTTAATATAATCTATATAAAAAAGTTCTTAAAGCCAGTGTGCAAAACAAAGCAGTAATGATTTAATTTAAGCAGAACTAAAGTGGACTGTGACTTTCACTGCTTAATTTTGTTAATGTCTAGGTACACAACCCACACCATAATCAAATAAATATTTTACATTTTTACAGGCAAAAAGTTAACTAATGAACACAGGATTACCTGCATCATCAGGTGTCCATGGATTACGAGTTGGCTTTTCAGAGGTTGGTCCCGAGGTAGTGATCATTCTCACACTAGGACTAGATGATCTACTGCTGTTTCTACTCTCCTGAAATGATAAAAGAAAACAATATAAAATGCCAAGAAAAGTTAACAAGGTTTTTGAAGGGTTCATTTTAAAAAATGTTATTAAACAGCAAAGTAAACGTGAAGAAACCTGAACCTATAATCCTCCCAAATACCCTCCCCTCCCCAAGCTTTTACCCTGAAAGCTCTCCAGATAGTTTGATAAACTTTACATGCGTTGCAGGGATAGTTTCATCCCCATTTCTACTCCATCTTTACTGTATAAGAAGAAATGGATATAATTTGGCTATTCAGCATAATAAAAAGCAGTGATGAACAATGCATTCATTCAAGATCTTTATATAAAAGCGCAACACTATGTCCAGTAATTTTCACATCACCATTCAGTGAAATCTAGCAGCTCCATAACATCAGGAAGAAATGAAGTTTGTTTCCCATGTTTAATCAATTAATGGAACTACATTCAACTAAAGGAACACAGCTTAGTAACCGCACTAGACTGCGGTATATTAATCTACAGTTTTTCTTATGGTTCTGATGTTAACTCAGAGGTTATGTGATTCATCTTCAGAAAACATGAAAAAAGTGTTTAATCAAAAAGGATCAATCAATTAAAGCAAAGCAATTAGAAAATGAGTACATTCTCTCCCACAAAGCAAATTAAGAACTAAAAATTCTGTAGGAAGTTCCTTTATGTACAGCTTGACTCCTCCAATCCTTTTGTTTATCAAAGTGCAAAAACATAATACAGACTTCATTATTCTACTGAGCTTCTTTTTCAGAATTATTATTTACAACATATACTCTTGTATTTCATATACTCCCTCACTGACATAAAATTAATACAGTAAAGGACTGTATTATCCCGCTGGGTGTGGGAGCGGAGGCACGCAGTGCCATGGCGGCTTGGTGAAGAAGGCTGCGCCGCAGGGTGGGTGTAAAGGAGAATGGAATGTGGGGAACAAGGATCTTTGCAATAAAGGACTTAAGACCCCAGCGAGTTTTGCAGGAAAAAAAAAAGAGGTAAAAAGAAAAGATGCTATTAAAATACAACTATTTTCACTATGGTGTATTTATCATGAAATGGTTAATTAAATGTCCCTATTTTTCAAAAGAAGCACTCAAATATACATTACCTGGAAACTGTATTTCTTTATGACTCTAATTTCCAAATATCCTATCTTAATCTAATTTTTAAAAGCCAGGATTTCAGTCAAGTAACAATCCAAAGAGTAACAAGATTCTACATACTGTAATACCCATTTTTCAACCGCATTATGTTTCTCCTGTAATTTTTATTAACCATTTAGTGTTTTATGTTAGTAGCCAGAAACTATCATAGAAATAATCTGATGGATGATATTATCAGGATGATGGCATCAGACATTTTGAAAAAGCTTTTATGTTGGACTCTTTGTTGATATTAAGAAAGGTTTAAGTTGCCGAGCTTACTATTTACTGTCAGTGTCCTCAGATGTGAATGATAAACACACTCTTCTGATGTGAAAGGTCTGAAGACAAAGCAAACACTTTTAACAGTGTGTAAGTCCTTCAAGCAAAAAGAGATTTGTTGAGTATCTACAGTTGATAGCAAAGGGCACCGGAGAAGTACTCTAGTTACAGTCACTTCTCAATGCTGTACTAGACTGCTTGCTGTACCAGCTTGTTTTGATCCATCAACAGAAAAAAAAACATTTCCTTGATAACATTATTTAGACAAAATTACCAGAGACAGAAGTGAAGGATTCATATCTGAAGTGTATCTAAAAAGCATTGTAAAGTCCAAGGGAAGTTCCCAAAACTGAACACTTGTTAGATTACAGTGTTTGAGCGTGTGTTGAGCGAGATGCTTTAGGCCTCCTGGACACCAGCCTCTCTGACAGGCAAGCCAGTGACTGTTCTTTAGCCATCAGTTTCTGCTACCCTTTCACAGGCATCCTTTCATCCTTGCTTCCTCCAGGTATCTCAGTACGCTCAACAGACTTGTTATCAGGTTACTCTCAAATCATCTTTGCCAGGTGGCCAAACCCACACGGCATTGTTAGTTTCTTAGCTTCCATTTCTCAAAGACTTGCAGTCTTGAAAAGCTGGCGTGCTCTGAGGAATAATACCCCCCCTCAAGTTAAATTTAAATGGGCAACCCAATTTAAAGAAATCTTACTAGCCCATGTCTCCTCATCTCCGGATTTTATCTTGCTGTGAAAGGGGAGAAAAAAGTGTACCTGTGACCAATTTTACAATCTCACAGACAGAATGATTCACCTGTATAATATCAGATCCCCCAAATTATCACACTTAGCTTGCATTCATGTGGACACGTACATTCTGACCTTGCTTCTCTACTGTTCAATACAGTACATGGTTTTCTTTATTATTTTTTTTCCACTTCAAAGTAAACTGTAAGAGTTATGAAGGCCCAGCAAAAGTTACTTAAAAAAAAAAAAAAACAACAACAAAAAAGAGGTTTAAAAGAGGTAGTTTTGATATTATGATAGCACTGTGAAGGATGACATACCAAACCAACCAACCCAATAAAAGAGACCCAGGCAAGGACATGGATACCTTACTAGGCATCCGATCACAACCTGCAGTTCTTGAGTGATTATGCCAAATATGTTTCTCAGTATCTGTATAAAATACCAAATTCTGTAAAGACTCTATCCAGTGTAAATGGCAGGTTCGCTGTGTTCCTTCAAGACCCCGAAACTTTTTATGGCTGCAGCTCAGAGTCTGCGCATCTGTTTCGTGTTACAAAGGTGTTTAGGCAAAAGCAGTAGTGCTGGACAGACGGCACAATGCAATGTTTTAAAATGCATGTACAGGGAAATGGAAAGGCAGACAGTGCAAAAATAAAATTATGTGGAAAAATGAATAGAGCATCACAGTATATGGATGGAAAAAAATGGAAATGTAGCATTTGACTGTACAGAGAGGCTTGCATCAGTGCTGCTCACGTCACTTGGGAGTAAGGTCCAGTCTAAGGTCACCAAGTACTAAAGAAATCTGTGAAAAATTGGACTTAAACATGTTCTCAACACAGAACCACTCCAACAGCTGATCCAAGGATGGAAAACTTTAGCTTAGCATATTTTCCTATCTAAATCGTTGATGTAAAACAGTCAGTTGAGTAGTAAAATCATCTGCAAAGCACTATTACTGTCTGCTATTGATAACATCAGTAAGAGCAATACTGGAAAATGCCTTAAGCGTCTCAACAACATAAAAATAGTCATCATCAGCCATACAAACCACACAAAAAATTCTTCTAACAGTATACAGAAATAAAATATACATACAATCATAAAACATACAAGAAGGTCAGATTAAAACAGACCAGCAGTTAAGCAGGGAGACAAGGGTCTTTGTCTATCCTTTCAGGTAAGCACCCCAAACTTTGGTATATTTACTATTATCATCAAGTCCAGTGTTTTCCTCCACCTTAACAAAAATTCCATTCTGAATTGGAAAAACCTTCCTGATAAAAAAAAAGTTATAACAGAATCATTTTCTGTTGACACAGCGGCAATTTTCAGGAAAAACATGTTTAATAAAAAGATTTCTGATCAGCTTTAGTGCGTGAGTCAAATAGTTAAAAAAAAAGAAAGCAGCACCATGGCAATCCTTCAATTTTGAGCGGGATAGGGGCTTACAAGGGCTGGGTGCGGGAGCGGAGGCACGCAGTGCCATGGCGGCTCGGTGAAGAAGGCTGCGCCGCAGGGTGGGTGTAAAGGAGAATGGAATGTGGGGAAGAAGGATGTTTGCAATGAAGGGAGGGAGGGGGAAGGGGATTTTCACATTAGAAAGGATAACCTATATATGGTATGGTGCATATGGGGAGATACGATAAACTGACCAGAGCTATGCTAGACACAGATGTTTTTTCTGCTTTGGCTAGTAGATTGCGTATATGGATAGCAGTTCAGCAGTTCACGATTTTTAATAAAAATTCAAGGCAGTGAGGTCCATAGCTACAGAAACCCATAAAGAGTAATCTTAAGTCTTGCCATAATTACATTGTGCTTACTTTCGTCATTGTTTTACAATTTTTTTTTAAATATACAAACATATGTATGTCAAAAGTTAGCATTAGTTTCAGCAGACTTTTCTATCTCTTCTCACACCAAAAAGGGGATGAAAATTCATTATTTGTTTATATGGACAGTGTATGGACTTTCTTCCAAAGTGCATTTTTCACACCTGTTAAAATACTATGTTTTCCAGATTTTATCGTAACGTTTCCAAAAACTGCAAGATAGAAGCAGATAATCGTAATTCTTCTACTTCCATTTCTAATATGTACGCTATGAGAAGCAAGAAAGTAAAATGTGATTCTGGTACTTCTATAGACCCTCATCAGAAATTGATGAGGTAAACAAAAAAACCCCACTTTTCTGTATCTTCCTTATCACAAGGACAATTTAGCTAGAACGCCCATACAAGCAGTAGAACAGCTTTCAAAGAAAGATTATTGTAATAGTTATGAAAATATGAAGTAAATGCTGAAATTCTGTATTTTTAAATATTAAGCATTCATTAAAATGAACAGAATGAAAAATTTTAAATAAAAAAAGCTATAATTAAATATATTCATACATCAATCAGTGCAATTTGGTATAATTGATGTACTGTCACTTCATTTTTTTTCCCCTAAGCCTTGCATAATTTTAGTTCTACAATTAACTACAACAGGCTAATCTATTTCTTTACTAAATTTTGCAGATTCATTTCCTTCTAACAAACCTGTCTTCTCTGAAGATATTAAAATGTATTTAAGACTCATTTGTTATTTTCTGATAGATGTACATAGTAAATTCTACTAATAATACCTGGGGTATTGATGAAGTTTCTGTGACTATCACACTCCACGGAATTAAAGGAGGATCAAATGTTTATCTCCCTGATAACTACACACCCCAAAAATTACCACCTATTTTAGAGTATTGCAGTAGGTTGTTTAATATGGAAACCTGATTAACCTGATGAATATGCTAAGCTCCAGTTTCCTACATCCAAATAATAGAGCAGGGATCTCAAAATTGCCAATTCACGCTACCAACCAAATAGCCTCCGTGAATTACTGAAACAGACAACAAAGCAATTAAAAACAGAAAATAAACACATCTGAATGAAGCATTAGCTGTACTTTTCTCATTTAACATGTTCTCAGTTTAATTCGTTCTTAGTTTAATTTCAAACTTATGTAACATACCACTGTGTCTGTTACCATGGCACTTACGATACCAGATAAGAAGCTATGTTATTCTAAGATATCTTAATGAGATAGTCTTTTTTATTAAAAAAAAAATCAAAACTTTGTGACAGCACCTTCCTGTAAACCTTTCACAAGAAGTGGAGAGATACTATTGTAAGTTACTATTCAGGGTTCAGAGACTGATAATAAATACATTTATAATACTGATGCACATGATTTTTATTTTTATGCAGAAAGCGAGTCTCATGTATATACATGTATATAGATGTACAATGTATAACTGCTTCAGACAATCATAAGTAGTAATTACAATTGTTTTCTACGTATAGAGGTGAAAAGGCTTTCCTGCATAACATCTGCCCTCAGCCAAATTAAGCGGTACACAAAAACTATTTGTACATAAAAATGATAAATGCTGTATGAGCTATACAGAAAACACTTCTCATCTAGAGCTCATTCATAGATTACCCTCATGGAATCTCATTTAAATACAATACAAACGACACTACAGCCTGCCAAGCTTCCACATCATTTCTACGAAAGCATCAAAGGTGAAGATTTCCAGACCAGTTTCCCTGTACAGATTCGGTGTTGACTTTACTGAAAGATAAAGAAGAGACGAGAAAGACGTTACCTGACTGGACTCTGTTCCAGCAACACTAAGATCTTGAATGGATCTGCGCCTCTGCTGTCCGTTTCCTGCTGGGAAAAAAACAAAACAAAAACAAACCAGTGAAATCTATTCAGAACAAAATAAGAAGGGTGCGACTGTTGCAGAGGAGCTTGGAATTTGTACAAATCCACAGAGAGAAAGTGAGAGAGGGGGGGAGAGAGACAGCTGCAGAATTTTAACTCAAAACATGCTGGCCTGTCAACAAAAAGTATACCCTAATACAATAACCACTCCTACCACATGAATAGCTGCTGCACTCTACTCCACCATCTTCTGTCACATGTATTTGGTCAGGCTTAGTACTCGGGGCAGGAGCTGATGACGACATCTATTTCAAGTGCGTTACGTTATGGGGATTTCTAAAAGCTAGACCGTGAAGATAACAGGCTGCCAGCTTTAACCTGTCGCTCTTTGGCGTGCTCAAGGAACACAGCAAGGACCTCTGCCCGCGTGCCGCTCCCCTCATGAAAATTAAGAAATGAAAGCGCTTCCTTCTGGTCTTTGTCTCCTTCGGATGAACGAAACTATGTCCTATTCTCATGCTCTGAGAAGTGTGAAAAGGGGACCGTTCAGCTAAATCACATCTCACCATCAACCTACTGAGCACAATGCTGTAATCTTTTCCTCTTCTCCTTCCACCTGTTCGCAATTATCCACCAGTGACAGCTATATAAAACAGTTTAAATTTTAACACTGACACGCAATCAAAGGCATTTCCAGAAAACAAAGTCTCCTTAAAAATAAAAGGAGATTATGCAACGGAATCTCCCTGGCTACTTTGATTTTTATTACGGTGATTGTTTATATTGTCTCTTGAGAGCAGGTCAGCTGTCCAAAAGGAAACACCAAAATGTCCTGAGTAACAGCTGACAATGCTCAAAATTCTTGCTCTTAGCTCCGCATTACGTAACTTTTCTACTGGAGGGGAGCATCTGAAACATGTCCTGCAGCCGTGGCAGCCCCTTGCCCAGCGACCCTGCACGCAACAGCCAACCCAGCTCACTCAAAGCCCTGTAACAGGCGTCGCATTTTTAACCTTTTAGATACTTCTCGTTCAGCATCATTTCCATATGACTCCACAGCCTATCTTGACAGGTGTTTTGATTTGCAACAGTTACTACAAAAATGTAACACTAATATTAATCAATACACTTAATGGTATCATACTTTAAATTTTTAAATATAGGTACTATTGCATGTAGGAACACATTACCACAAGACAGCAATACAAAATTCTCAGTGTCACTTTACCAATTTCTCATGACATTTTATAGACTAAAATTTATAGAAAGTCCTATGACAAACAAGCATATAAGAAAATCAAGAAGGATTTTGGAACGGGAATATATTCTTTGCTCTGACTACAAATGAATTTGAATTACAACTTTTCTGTGGTCTTGATCTTTTGCTTCTGAAATTCAGGGGAAATATATACTAAGCAACAACGGCTATATTATGTTTAATACTTCGATATTAGAGATCGTGTGAATGACAAATCTACGTCAAGATTTCTGAACTTGTTCATTTGCAGTGAACTTTTTCACTACCTAATCATTTAACAAACAAGATTACACATTTAATAGACTTCTGTGCTGTGGATACTTCATCTGGCTGCCACAGCTCATCTCAATATTCAAGACATGGGTGATCCACCCACGACTGATACAAAATTATGTGCACGTTTCATTCAACAACACTGTTATAAAATTAGCTCAGTTGAAATAGGCTTGCAAAAATATCTGAAATTCTCATTTCAGATTAGCAACATTTGTGAATTTAAAGAACCCGGCACATGTGTTGCTGAAATATTAGAACATGGCTGCCAAAATGTTAAAATAATCAGGGTGGGGTGCAAGAAAGAAAAGAAAATGCCTTGGGGGCAGAAAGAAGGGCCAATACTACTGTGTTGTAATAAATGAGCACCTTTAAATGAAATATCTTCAAGTTAGTAGCATAAGGGAAGAGCAAGCTCTACTAGGCAATGCCATTTTAATTAGTATAACTACTGCAGACATCTGGCAAAGAGCTTAGACAAAGCAGAAACAGACTACGAATCAACAAATACTTATTGCTCCAGATTCAAGACAAATATCAATTGAAAAATATACTATACAACATATAATCTTTATTTGAAATGATCACTGCTACTTCTCTATGCTTTCCTCTCAGTTTTATCCTGTTCTTACCACTACATCCATTTGAAACTAATTTTTTCTCATTATAAAACCGAAAAGATTTGTAAATGCACGGAAGTTAATATACAGTAGCTTGATGCAGTATGTCAGGATTTCAGTGGTTTACAGGGTTTTAAGATTTAAAAAAAAAAAAAAAAACACCAACAAACATCACAAACTTACTTCCTGTCCTCAAAAAAACCATTTCACATACTGTTATTTTCTAAAGTGAAATTCAAAAGGAACAGGAAACTTCCATCATGTGCTGCCTCACATACTCCAGCAAAAACAAATTCTACAACTTAAGGCTTTTGATCACCCTCCCCCCCGTGCCAAATATCCAGACCAGCTATGAACTCTTCTCCCTGCCCTTTAGCAGATTCTTGCGTCTCCTTTTACACTTTCTTATTTGCGCACAGTACTCTCTCTTCCTTTCACACCTACAAGACCCAAACCTCTCTCACAGAGCAGGATGATCAGTGCTAGAAGACTTTCTAAAGAAGTTAAAACATTGATCTGACTTCCAGAAGAATGAAGTGATCTGGGGAGACAAGGGTGGGATTTCTGGCTTATATGGTTTTTAAAGTAGGTGGAAAAATTACAGACCTAAAGCATCTATAATTCGTATCCACTTTATGAAGACACTCAATAAAACGTGTCTATCCTGAGTAATCATTTATGCAGTGTCAATGCTATAGGAATCGTATCACTGTGGCACAGTTTCGGATGACAAAATTACAAAGCCAAATGCATGCATGCTATATGCGTGAGATGTCTAACATTGCCAGTGAAGAAAAGGCTGTACTTGAAGGCATATTTGCTAGATGCTGCTTGACTGGTTTGTATCGAAAAGGTGTTCTGATTATTTTTCTTGATCATATTACAAACTATATTTAGATTTTTTTTTTGTTTCTTTAAACATAGAGCTACTTAAGCCTTTTGTACTTACTAGAGCTTTTATTTTTCATATATATGTAAAAATAAAATGTTGGTGCTTATTATCTATACTATACATTATATAGACTATAAATTGAAAAAAAATACTGATCACTTGACTATCTGGTTGCAGGATACTACCACTGAAAACTCATTTGCCAAGTTGTTAGACAAAAAAGGAGTTAGTTGATCCATTTTTCAGTTTCTAAGTTTTGTAAGCTGGTAACACAAAACAGCATCTTAAATGAAAGAAAGTTCTATTCACCCTTATTTAAACCTATTCAGAAAGAAGAGCAAATATATATGAAAAACTTCCACTTCTGCCAAAAGTGGAAGTCTGCCACAACTGACAAAAATTTGTATTTTACGACCTCGGTAGCATAATCAGTTCACGGATGAAAAGCAGCCGAGGCAACACATTACGAAACCCCCCAATGATAGCAGATGTAGTACTCATACTTCTAAAATAGCCCTGCCCCAAAGCAGCTGACTCATGGTAACATGCCTGCCTGGTGCCTCCCCTCTCGGGGAAGCAGCTGCTTCACCATGTGCTCAGCACAACTTCAGGCAGCAGCGCAGACTGGGTCAGCACTCACGCTGCCCCGAGGACGGAGACGGGCCGCTCGCCCCCACCGACAGACATGCCCATGGAAGTTCGGAGGAGCTGGGTACGTGGCAGAAGTGCTAAGGAATGTAACGGGGTGGGATCGAGATGGAGGTGCCAGTTTGGGGGTCTTGGAAGTATAACTAGACAGGGAAAAGTGCGTTAAGAGGCCAAGACTGAAAGCCTTGTGCTGAGAGAGTAAGGAAAGGAAAGATGTGAGAAATAGGCCACGTTGTATCATCTTTAAAAGAATAACTGAGCAAGGTACTTTTAAATAACTGCTTCAAGTATACAGATAAATATAATTAGTTTACTGGGCAGATGGTCACATCCCTGTCCCGTAACGATTAATCTCTTTCTTTCTGACCTTGGGATTCTTACGGGAAAACTGTTCTGACAACCAGAAAACTTAATATACAGCCCAGACTTATTTGCAGACAATTTACATGTTTTTTCCGTAGTGCCAATACTGTCTTTTAGCTTAAGTAGTTCTCTCTTCCTAGTCTTTAGCTGCAGATTCATCTATAGAATACAATCATTCATTTCTCAGCTTTCATTTTGTGGGCTAAAAAAGCCATGCTTTCAGATTCTTCTTTATACTCTCCATACCATCCTAGTAGCTCTTCTTGCTATTATTTCAGAGCGCATGTGTGTTTCTTTTTTACGGCTGCCCAGCACAGTATGTTGAATTCCTGACTAAGCCTCAACAAGGGCTTGTAAATAGTGTTAGTGCTTCCTTGTCTTCCCTGGAAATGAACCCTAAGATTTCACAGTTTTTCACAATTGCATTACATTAGTGGCTTATACTACCTGGGATTAAGCTGCACGCATCTGCTATGGTCCCATGTCACCTTATTAAAAGAAATTGTTGCTAGTGTATGACCCACAGTACATGACCCTAGATCTTACCCTATTCCTATTTTTTTTTCCCCAGTCACAACAAAATTCACCTTATGTGATACTCTAATCCTCCTCTTTATGAACAGTTGCTTCTGATAAAGCATTAACAGTGAATTTCATTATCACTTATTTAAGACTTAAATACCTTGAGAGCAAATTTTGGGGAAATTCATTAATATGCTTCCTCCAATCCTATACCTTCTTTCATTTCTACAGGTTGCTATTTTTCTCGTATCTATTCCAAATTCACCTTGGAATTCCCATCCTGTCAAGTTCAATTAAAATGGTGCAGGTGAAGAATATCCGATTGACTTCCTCTGCCTAAATAAGTAAGACCAATAGACTGGTATAATCTGTTTTGTGAAAATGACATGGCATTTTATTTCACTGGCTTTTTAATTATTCTCTAAAAGTTTCAAGGTTGCTTGGAAGCCTCAGTGCTGTTACATGCAGACAGTGTGCACAGACAAGAGGCACTCAGCTTCTAGAGCTTATTTACCAGGCTCTCATCACGTGTTGACACTGCAAAACTTGACAGATCTCTTCACTTTCTCTTTCCTTGCTCTCTCAGGATTTCATTTATGTCACAGCAGGCCAGGACCGCTTGAAAATTACAGTGGAAAGCTACACTAGTAAACTTTCTTGCCAGTTTGTTAGCCTCAGTGCCAGATAGGTTTTCTTTTCATGGGTAGTGCTATTGTTCTTTGGAATCTACTTTTTGACATTCTGTATTTTTTATATGTAAACTTTAATAAAGTTATTTGAAAGAAACTTTTGTAGAAAAATTATCTTTTGCATTCAACTTTAAAATACCAAACAATGTCAAGATTTACAAGGAAACTTCCTCAGATGATACAAATTTAGTCGGGGGCGGGGGGGGGTCCACAGTTTTTAACGGATCTCTAGGTTAGCAGTAAATATTATTACTTGTATCTCCTGCCTCTGACAAATCATTTTGAAGCAACTTGCATACCGCTAATGGTATACCTATCACAGTTTGGGATTGATTATACTTATTTTTGGGCTCTGAGAATATGAAATGAAAGAAAGAAATCCACTTTGATTGCAAAAAAAGGAATGGGAAAGGAAAACAATATGCTGCTAACTATAGACTTGGGATAGATGACAATTATTCATTAAAGTCCCAACCGAAATTACCAGCTACAGTGCCTGATTATACCAATTTTCTTCCTGTCAGAAGCCTCTCCTAATAATTTTAGTTTGCATTAACTTAAACACAACAGAAATACCTCATGCAGACACATTTTAGCTCTAGAAAAGTGTAGTCAAATATATTAATTACATAGATTAAGTGTTAATTTTTTTAAATCACAAGTATCGTGGATTTGAAGTTCTGTACGTAATGTATTTAAGTTTTTTGTTCTACTAATATTTGATTAGATTAAAAATATGGGTGCTCAAACACAACAAAGATCAGGGCAAGATAATTACCTAGACAGGAATTTTTCAACTTGAGTCCATTTTCACCAAATGAAGTATTGTAATAAAAGACTGCATATATAGTTTTGCTCTGTAAGACGACTCAACATTAAGATCATAAAGGAAAAAATCCTTTATCAATAAAAGTAAATTCAAACTAGAAGATCGAATCATTTACTGATAAAAGTAAGTTTGTACTAAAATATCACGCTCCCCTTTACAGAGACGTTATGAAAAAATTATTGGGATAACTTCTAGTTCTGTCCTAGAGCAACTGGAGCAAGAAGTATTTTTAGCAGTCTGATCATTATTCCGGCATCTTAACCAATTGACCCGTTCACCTGGTCTGCGATACCTGGTATGATGATCTCAGGGACATCCAGAATGTTGCCAAATGAAGCAGTTTTACGATGGCCTCGTTTAGGCTTGGAATAGGCTGAAAAAATACACATATACAATACACATGCAAAACACTAAAATGGCAATAGCAAAATTATTAAATTTCTAATATTGCATTTTTCATAAACTTGGTTAAACTATAGTTCATGCAAAAATGTGTCATGCAGAATAAACTGCGTTGCCTTCCACTCATGCTTACACACAGTAAAGCAACTGTTAAAAAGCAAAAAATGCAGAACTAGCCGTCATTACAACACCGTGTAATTAGTTATAGTTAGCAACACAAAAGTCAAACACAGAAAGCAGCATGGCAACAAGGAAGGGAAAACCAAATGTAATTATCCAAACAGAGAACAAATTAAATTATTTTAGATCACCTGTATATTCAGAATAAATTATCGATTGCCTGAACTTATATAACATTTTCTCTTTAGTGTTGGGTACAAACTATTTTATAAACAAGATTAATAGTTGGGTACTTCTGTTTCTTTAAATAACCTCCTTCTAAAGGAAATCTCATCTGTCTGAAAAAATGCTTACTCTTACTACATTTGACAATCATTCCTGCCTTCCATTCTTTTGTCCTATTAGTGAAGATTTTTTGTTTTGCAAACTGGATATCACTACCAAAATGTATCACTACATTCAAAAATTTTCATTTTTGAATGATGTTCAAGAAACATTATATACTTTGGAATAAAATCTAATCATATATTTTTTATTTTTATTTTACTACTCGTGTAGTTTAAGATAAATAGTTCCCATATGGAGAAGAGTCTGAATACATCTCTGAAAGGTAGAACATTGCAGCATATCCATCTCAATAAGTAACGGTGATGTGCATTATGTGATTTACTCTTACACTTAATCTAGCAATAGATGGAACAAGAAGATTAAATAATTCTTGACCTGATTTACTATTAACAACAGCCCAATTCTCACCCAGCCACACAATTTTTTTTTAATTTCACAGTATATTATTTCTGTCACACAGTTAACAAGATTAAAAAACAAAGCAAAACCAATACAGTGGTGTTTCAGCTCTTTTTGAAAAAGCTGTGGTCAGATGGGTTTGACCTCATTTCTAGTAGTCCACTACTGCCTGAAGTGATTTCTTAAAAAACAAAAACCAAAAAACTAATATGTTCAATATATACTTTTTTCCAGGAAAAAGAAACTCTACAGTCATAAAAAAAATTAAAATCTTACAATATTCTGAAATAATAATTACTATTCAGAGCAATGTACTTAAGGAAGACAAACCAGGAAAATTAAAAACTCACACAAAGGAGGGCCAGGTTATCTCCACTAATGTCAAAAACTTACAGTAACTTTAGAGTGTCAGTGACCAAAGTGAGTCCTGACATGTTTTAAAATAAAACCAGCATGTTATTATTATCAGGTAAGTACACAGCTGCCTTCTGTGTTAGGAAACCTTTAGAGATATTCAGGGTGAGATGTGCTACACAATCATCCAGTCAAAGACTGACAAAACAAAAGACAAATCTTGGAATAAGGCTTTAAAATAAGAACATAAAAGTAAAAAGTGTTTATGGCAAGATAAATATTATGTCATGAGTAACTTCAGTATTTAGTAAAACAAGATCCTGGAGTAATCATAATACAATGAAGAACAAAAATGAAATAGTCATGGTGCACAAGAAAGCCAGAATATGATGCGTATTTCCTTATTAATTACAGCCACTTGATCACCCTAATTTTCAGATTGGTAGAAAAAATACTAGAACAGCTAAATAACCCTGGACTAACAAAAGTAATTTTGTCTGATTATTTAAATCTGTGGTTATATACCATAACAAAAAAAAGTTTCACAAATGAAACTTAAAACCTGAAGTTTGCATAGATTAACAAACAATATCTTTGATGAAGAAAAGAGACAAGAAAGTGTTTGCCAAGTATATACATTTTTATTAATTCGCTCTTCTGGGAAGACTAAAGATTGCTTTCACCATAAAATAAATTCCAATCCTCTCAAGGATTCAATGTTTAGACACAACAGTTTATAGCTACCTGAAGCAAACCTTGCAAAACACCTGTAGCTTTTTTTTTTTTTTTAAACAAAAGATACCAATTTTTTGTTAAACTGATGAATAAAATCTAACTATGCTTCTCTTTCTGAAATCTGTCAAAGTGGATTTTAAAACTTATTTGGGAACATGCTGAACTTTAAACCCACCTCTTAATTTCAAAACATTATAGGAATAACCTTGAAAGAAATGTTATTTTAGAAATAATTATGCTAGCAGAGATGAAATAACATTGTTTCAGATGCAAAGGAGAAAGTTGTGCATTTAGAATAGGACTGTTATTTAGAAGTCTCATAATGATTTTTTAAAAAGGTAAAAGTCTAATGCAACAAAAGTAATCTCTGCTGCAACCTTAAAACTACCCAATTAAAATACTCAACGCTGTTGAGTGTACAACTGTGAATGAAGCCATTTTCCCCCACAATTAATAAAGGACAATAAAGACTACATGAAAAGTTGAAGTATTTTCATACGGCTAATGGTATTAACCTTCTGTAAGACTACGCAAGTTTTACATCTTCCTTCCTCCTTTCCTTCCTTCCAATTCCTTATTCTATACCCCAAACATCCTTTAATTTTACCTGTGATGGAAGCTATTCTTGCTTCTATTTCAGACATGTCAGCACTCATCCTTTTGGCTTCTCCTGAAACAAGGGCTGACTGTGGTCGCGCGCGAACATCTGACAAGCTCTCCACACTGCTCCCACGAGATGGGGGTAAACTCAAACGGCCAGGATCACCCTGTTTCAACAGTCACATTTTTAAAAAGAAAAAAAACCCTGCAGAAGCCCTTCCATGATATGCACAGTATGTAGGTTAAAATATATTTCTATAATGTGCATTTTAAAAGTGACAAGATTTAAAATTTATAATTAAAAAAATGGTAATAATTTAGCTATTATTGGCATACAAGAACCCAATATCTGCAACTTTCCAAAGAATCTAACTTTACACAGATAAAAATTGAGTAGAATTAGGCCAATATTGTCACAAAAGATTCTTTATATTTTTTTCATCCTACTTGAAATAAAACAGTATTTTCAAAATTCACATGAATGTTTAATCCTTTTATGTCATACTAATATTTTGGTTCTAAATTATGGCAGCGATTTTCAAATACAATTTTTTTTTTAACCTAATGAATCCCTTCAAATAAAATGAACTATTTTTTTATTTCATTGGAGATCTTATTAGGGTCTTCCAGTTTATGTTTTTGGAATCATTCAATATTTTTCCACCCCCTTTCATGTTCTTTTCCTACAACTAACTGGCTCCAATTTTGTATTATTTTTGAAAGAAGACACTAATGTTTCGTAGCAGTTACAACACTTTTGTCCATCTTTGTCCATTTCATTATTATGGTTCAAAATTGCAAGCTTACCGGCTGCTTGGCTGTATTTTTCATTTGCTGTGCCAATTTTGACTCTAAACGTTTAATAGTGTCATTGGTAGAAGCTCCTTGGAAGTCACTTGGTTCCATATTAGCATCACTCTTGTTACTTGTGTTTGTAGAAGTGATGTCCATAAATGAACCTAGAAATCAATAACAAGGAAAAACATTTTACATTTTCCATTAAAAATACTAAAGTGCATCTCTTCACTTGAGCATTCTCAGAAGCCTAACTTTGCTTTAAAGCAACACTTTTGAAAACTTTTAATGAAAGGCAAGCTGCAAGACTGCAACAGATCCATTAATGTAAAAAGTAAAAGGAGTGAAAAAGACAGAATACACGACTAAGTACTATAATGATGTTCTGAAGTCAATCTTCAGCTTGCTCTGAAATTGTTGGGGTAGATGTTATATTAGCAATACAACCAGCAACCTCATTCACAATTAATGACAAAGTCCATCATTAACCACAGAGGAGCACAAATACCTGAAAAATAACAGACAATATATATTCACAGTTTAAAGTGATAAATCGTATCTTAAAATCATGGGCTGAGGGGTGGAGAACAGCTAGTAAAGTCAGTGCAATGCTACAGCTGAAAAGATTTTGTAATACACAGGTCACTAAGTTGCAAAGTAGCCAAGGAAACTTTATCCAAAAACCAGCAATTTGTTTGGAGATGGAAAACAAACCAACCAAGCAGTGGAAGGTGAAGACACCTAAGATTAAAAACAACTGAAGTGGGAAAACTGTACTCTAAAAAATGAGAAGACCGAATGATCTCTCTGAATGATCTTGCCCTCAGGATTTCTCTGAGGCCAAGACTACCTGAAAGCCTAGCCCACATTTTTTCCATTCACTGTTCTAGTAATTTCCTTGCACTTAATTTAAATTACTGTATTTATTGCATCTTAACATAAAACAACTGCAAGTTTAAATTGTGGACATCATAACTGAAAGCAGGTGCAGCTTTCAAGAATAGTCAAAAATTTAAAAATGCCAACTCCTAAACATTACATATGAGTGAAAGAGTGTCAGTTGCTAGCAACCTTCATGGGGGAAAAAAAGAGGAGACCTTAAACCTGGACATTCAGAGACAGCTTTTATTATATGCTTGTTTCCATTAAAGGTATACTTCAGCAAAACCATTTGGCTGAGAACACTAAATACGATGTGGTCTGAGGTCTTAGCAAAAAAATAGATTCCTGCCAATGCCTAAGATTTTGGAAAGGTTACCTTTCCCAATTTGAGTTCAAAATCAATATGAGAATGTGCTTTATAATCCATCTGCATCATTTCATGTAACTGTTCTTTTCTCTTACTTATATAAGTGTACCTGTACTAGTGGCAGAGTTGCTTTGGCCTTCGTCTGAATACTGGCAAGGATACTGCAGAGGTTCATCAGCTCCTGGAAAGTACTGTGAAAAAACAGCAATGATTTGATAAAAAAGTAATTAACGATTGTTTTAAAATTATTTAAATAGTACATCATAAAATAATTTCTAAATATAAAGTATGTATTATGTTTATAATAATTTATTTAGAAGAGAAATAAATGCAATTATTTTTAGTAATACATTAAAATACATCTATGACTATTTTTACTAATTTCCCCAAATCTGTTATGAGTTAGTATACCCCTCCCATAAGGAGAGGAACAATTTCCCTTCTCTACTATAATAATTTGATAATTTTTATCAAAGAGAGAGAGACGGAGAGAGAAAACATGCAAGCCCGCCTTTAGAGTGTGATAAAAGGCATACCTTTTATAATTCAATTTCCCAACTTAATAGGTTAAGAAATGATTAAGATACTAAAATAAATTTTTATACCCGCATCAAGTGTGACATTATTTTAACAATTTCCTCCATGGATGGTCGTTGTGAGGGATCCTTCGACCAACAGCGGGTCATTAAACTCTCAATTGGTTTAGGTAAGTTTTTGATCAGTGGTGGCCGAGTACCTATAATTGAAATTAGAAAAAAACCCTTAATTTGTTAGACAGACTATAGGATGACTGACAGTGACCGATCTCTCTCTCCAGTATTTTGCTAAATAAAGAGAGGAAAACATATAGTTAATTGTAGTCTGAAAGTACTGGCCTGTACTTAATTTTCTCTCTTACAAACAAAAAACTGACAAAAAAAAGTTCCTTTGCACTACATACAAGTTACAATTACATACAAACAAGTAGAAAGAAAATTAAGCCTTTCCTTCAGTAGTGGTTTGAATAAATTCACTGACTGACCAAATACAACATATTACAATGGCTAATGTTACCACTTTTTGAAGAATAAAGCTCTAGACCAAACTAGGAAGCAAGTAGTAACAGTCTTTGGTTTCTAACACTGTATTCACAAGAAAAAAAGAAAAAAAAAGTAAAAAAAAAAAGTATTTTTGAGGGCTGATTTTGCTCTTAAGAACTTCCTGAAAAATTATTAAGCACTGGAAGTACCAATTTCGGGTGACTTTTTCACGGCCTATATACATTTTTAATTACCTATTTTACTTCAACTGTTTTTTGGTTCAAGTTTCTACTCTTTTTACTATTTCAACAATGAGTACAATTAATGGACATCCAGTTGTGTTTAATACATGAGATGTATTGACATTTTGCATAGAAAACAGCAAGTATTTAAAAATGTATTAACCATAACAAGTAATACATGAAATAAGAGTGCCACAATGGTTTCAAGTGAGATGAAGCGCACTAACACTTCCTTCCTAAGAAGGAGAAGAGGAAAAGGGAAAAAAAGAAAAAAGAGAAAAAGGAAAAAAGAGGGAGAAGTTTTTAAAGCAAAAGTAGGGACAGATAGGGAATTTGTCTTCCCCTAAAGGATACTCACGCATCTTACTGAGGCTTTCTGATTTATGACTATTACATTTATGCTTACTTTTACAGTTAATGCTTTTATGCTAGGCACTCATCACTCCTAATCTCAATGACTCATGTCCTTGAGAAACTGAACTGGAGAATCTCTTTCTTCATTTAAAAATGCCATTTGCAAACATCTATCTTTGTGCATTATTATGACTATAATGCTCACCCATCCTATCACTGTCTGCCCTTTTCTCTTCTTCACTGAATAGGATGCCTGTGCCCATCTTAAGCTTCTATCATTTAGTACTGAAGCAATGACACTCAGGCAGAGTACCAGCCTTCATTGCTTGTTTGTTAATTACATCTTCCACGAAAGTGGCAGCGTCTAACTATTAAGTCTTTATGACAAAAATGCATATTTAATGAAGTATAAAACGGAAAAACTAGTAGTTTAAAGCTGCACAGTTAAGAGCGTTTAGCAAATTTATAGGTCAAATACACAACTTCAAATGCAATGAAGTATTTTCAACTCACCATTGTGAACTGCCCACATTATACGGAAAGCTGGACCACCAATCTCATCAAAAGGTTTCCTACGGGTGATTACCTCCCAGAGAATAATACCCCAGCTGAAAACGTCACATTTTTCACTGTAATTGCTACCTGGAAGAAAGCCATCAATATAATTTGTCTCTTTTCTATATAACACATTAAAAAGAAGTACAGTTTGAGCTGATAAATAGCTCTATATGCTTCCTTTCACTTCACATTTGTTTTCCTGAGAAAAAACAGTTTTCTAAGGCTGGCTGATTCACGCTAACTTAAGTCTGAAATCATTTGACAGTAGGATCGTTAAGAATGCCTCTCTCTGGAAATCAATCCTTTTCACTTGGAGTCATCCTGAAATGATAAAATACGTCAGTTTTCTTACATAATAGAAAATGCAATTTATTAAGTTTCAAAGATCTCTTGCATTCAGGATTTAACTGACTATGCTTGCTTCCTCTAAACATTCTTCTTCAACTCACTTCCATATTAGTCACAATATGCCAGCCAATAACATTTCTGTCATATCCATTGCTCTTTATTAATTACAGGTCTTGAGCAGAACTAGTAAGTTACCATATGAACAAATCAGCAGATTCTTCAATTCCTCACCATCTTATTTCCTCCCTGCTTATTATTCTTACTCTTTTTGTCATGTCATTACTTAAAGTTCTTTGACCAAAAGTTCAGTATTTCTAAGACTCCTGTTAAAGTTGCAGAAGACACGTAGGTGATATAGAATAATGAATAAAAATGTTCACAGACTGCAAAGAAAGAATGTATGCTCTGTAACCACAACTCATGCAAATACTAAAAAGAAATGAGAATGGCTAATGGCATGATAATAAATGCGTAACTATAAATGATAGATTTGCTCATCTGTCTTCAAACAAGGATCAAAATTGGCATTGAGTGGCCAAGATATTTTTTTTGTTAATATATAATCAGAAAGCACCGTTAAGACAAATCATTTCATTAACAGTGAAATTAAAGAAGCCTAGTTTCACGTGGATACCCATCGTATAGCATCCAGTTGCAACAGGCTCCACGCTACCTATGAGCCATCTTCCTCTGCCCCCATACCTCTGATAAACTGTGCAAGGAAAGCAGCATGTTCTCAGGCCAGTTCTTGCAGACCAGCCAGTTTGCAAGGCAGACAGGAGAGACAGGCTGCAGCATGAACCACAAGTCCTCTCTAAGTGAACGCACTAATTTGGACTTCTCCCAGCTACTGATGTTACAAAACCCTTTAGGAACTGGGCATCTCCAAAACTCTTTACACCTGTATCGAAGCAGCTGAACGTGGCTAATGAGTTCAAAAGCTACTGAAGGGGAATAGCAAAGTCAGCTTTATCAGTCAGCTTTTTTTCCAAAGGTGCTGGGGAAAAAAGGTGTTTTTTAACAATAGCAGATTTCTAAGGGAAGCAGAACGGTCCCTCTCGTCTATGCAGCCACAGCACTTCTGTGAAACACTGCCTATGACAGGGAAGTAGTGTTATTCTCCTGTTTGAGCAAGGAAATTCTATTCTGTGGCTGAGAACTCTTGGACTAATTCTGAAAACTGAGAGTCCAAAAGAAATGAGAGAGTATTCTGTATTGTTTCATTATCCCAAAGCAATTTTAAAATACTTCATTCTAAAGGGAGTTCTGAGATTAGAGCACTTGCTCTCTTTCACTTTATCCTGACCTAAATGATATTGTTTTCATTTAGATTGTTTGATCTGTACAAGGCTTTAGGTGCCCTAGTATTTAAAATGGGGGGAAAAATCTTAATATTAGGGCAATTACTTTCATGAGCACTGTGCCATCTACAACAGATACTTCTTGTGCCTTTATTGTTCTCATCCAAAAGCGTTAGAACAGTACTAAAATAATATTAGCATTTATTCCATTGTTGAATTCTGATGCAGGAGCATACGCAAACAAAAATTTTTAGCAATTTTGATATTTGACATGATAATTTTAGTAGTTTAATGACTGTTTCAAGAGTAACTTGATATGCTGCATCATAGAAGCTACTAGATTCTTTTCTTTCCTTGATACTTGTATAAAGATATGTGTCATTATCAGTAAATACTTTCAGATAAAAGTACATAAAACCAACTGTAAACTGAAGGCTTTTGCTGCTGTCCAACAATAAATTTGCAACACAAGATTTCTTTGTTCTGCCTAGCTGAATTCATACACCAGAGGAATTAGGATATGCACTGTAAATCCCTACTACAATATACTTATTTCAAAATCTGGTTTAGATTAAGATTTTTCACTCAAAAAAATCTAGCTTTAACATGGATTGTCCAACTGATTATTTCTAAAAGAAAAAGTTCTTTCTTATTTATACAATTTCATTTAATAGTAAACAAATGTTAAGAAAAGAAGCATTCCTACCTAGAGTTAAAGAAATAGAGTAGGTGCTTCAATATAAAGTGACATAATGGAAAATTTTTAGGCACCAGAATGAAACAGATCACCCTTGGGTGGGTCCTCTAAGCAATATGCAGGAGAAAAAGGTACCTCCAAAACAGAAGCTCCAAAGGTTGCGTTCGGGAGAAAACACCCCCTAAAAACGTATATGGACATATATAATTTGCTGCTTCTCTCTGGAATAAGGACAGTAAAAGAAAAAAGGCCACTTGGATCCAGAATCTGGGAAACCACTGCAGCACTTAAACACTTGCCAAATACATCAAAACCAGGACACTTGCTTCCTAAAGCAGGAAGATGACTTCTCCAGACCACTCTGCTAATCACAATGATAATTTAAAGTATTGACTGGCTAAAAGGTGTTTAATTTGCAATCTAATATTGACTGGATTATTTCTCTGATAATCATGCAGCAATTATACCTATCTAATTATCAAGCGTCGTCTTCCCCAGCTACACTCCAAGAAATAGTTTGTTTTCCTACTTAACTAAATCAACTGTTAATAACAAGTTCCTCAGTATGTAGGAAAGAGGAAGTACATCCAATCTCTAGATTACACAAAAAGCAGATGAAGATGGAGTTACAAGAAAATGGGGGATTGAAAATGAAGGCAATTATGTTCAATTTAGAGACACTAACAGGGAAAGTCTAAAGATAAAAGCTGATCAGAACAGGGAGTGAAAGTAATGACAGTGTATTTAAATGTCAGAAGAGTTTGAAATGACTTAAGAATCTTGGAAACAGCACAATCCTGGGGAAATAGCCCTCTGGCTGTGTTTTACTTGCTTATAAAATAAGAAACAGCAGCTGTCTAAAGGTACTTCTTATGTAAATCTCAGCAATGACACAAATAGAGGTTCTACATCTTCATGTAATTAACTAATACTAACATGATAGAGTCAATTCAGTGCTGCTCTTCGAAAACCTCACTAATTATTTGGCAACATACAATCATACAGATTTTTTAAATAAAAGTTAGACTTTGGCGAAGAGTCTTTCAGCTGTTACCTCAAACTTTAGTACACTGATTGAAATAAAGTAAGGTTACATAATGCTCTTTTCCTACACCAAATTCATTCACAGTTGCATCCCTAGAAAGAACAGATAATATTGACACTGTAAATTATTGTTACCTTCAAAAACTTCAGGTGCCATCCAAGCAGCACTTCCCTTATTGTTGGTCATGTGTGTTTGAATATCACAGGCTGTACCAAAATCACAGATTTTTAGAACTGTCCCCCCAGCTACCAGGAGCAAACTGTCAAAGAGCAAAAAAACAAATTAAAATTGTAGGATGAAGCAGTCTGGTAATAAACCACTGATTTTTTTATCCCAACAACTATCATTCTAGTATAGTTGAATATCTAAGGCTTTGCTTCTCAGTGCTTTAGTTTTATGATTTGAGAAATAAGTGAGGTCACCTGTGCCTAATCTTAACATATGAAATATTTTAAAATAATCAAATATATATTGTAATTTATTAGTATTTCTACATGCTAGATTTTAAATAAATATCTTTAGCCATAGTAAACCATTAAGCATATATTGACAAAATTAGTCTTTCAGACACCAGAGGCTGAAAAACAACAAGTGCTGTAACAATTTTATCAAAAGAAGAACCATCAAGACTCCCATTAATGTCAGTCAACATAGCTATTTATTTAAATGAAAGCACTTGAAGTTACATGTTAACAGCTCTCTAAATCAAAACTGGGGATATAAGAAAGAATTCAAGATTTAAAGTGTGGCTTCACATTATAATTTTATCTGGTAATAACTGCAGGCTACCACCAAAAGGGTGTGATCCTGCTGATCCTCAAATCTCTGTTTCCACCTAATCCGTGGAGCCAGATCTGAAGCTGTAAAATGAGTCAGATCAACAAGCTGACTAGGCAGAAAACTATTCATTTTTGTTTCCGTGGAAAGTGATGGGAGATTCTGGCAGGGGTAGTGGAACAGGCAGAAGGAAGGGATAGAGGAGGATGGCCACGTGGGGAAAGAGCTCTAATGTATCAGATTAAATATGACGTTAAAACCAAGCAACCAAACAACTCCCCCACCTAACGTTCTCTTACTGAACACCACAACCCATTGTAAAACTGGGCCATTTTAAATGCCTCTGATTAGAAGCCCTATCCCTATCAAAATCCTCTTTCATGATGCAGGGCAGGAGCAGGACGTTTCTCCAGTTTAACAGAAAGTAACTGAGTACAGTTCATTTCCTGTACCGTGCACCATCATTCTGTAACTGAATTTTCACATGCACAGCTTTCATTTAGAATATAGTACATCCAATAAAGTCACTATCAATTGGTATTTCTTTCAAAATGCAATGAAATTATTATAAATGATCTTAAATTCCAATTGTAAGCCATAAACCTACTTTGGTGGTTTCAGGTCTCTGTGGATTAGAGCCTTTGGTTTCATACTGTGGAGATATGCCACTCCTTGGGAACACTGTAAACACCAACTCATGGCATGTGCAGCAGTATAATGAGGCAGAGGTTCAGCACCATGCAGCACTGCAAAACAAAGGCACAAACTAAAAAGAACTTTATTGCATATTACAACAGATACAACAGAGTTAACAACATACCAGTCAGAAAGCTCTATGGAATCTAAGTAATTATCAATGCCTCATCACTGCAACTGAAAATATCCTTCTGCAGACTGTTAAAATAATGGAAATGTCAAAATATTTTCTGCTTTTTAGTATGTTTTTCATAATTTTTCATGTTAAAATTCAATATGAAAGGTGTTGCTTGTTCTCAGCTATCTCTAGTAAAGTCTATGTTAAACAAACGCTCAGGGAATTTACAAGTTAAGGAAGACTCTTGTCAGATGTTCCACTGGAAAACCTTAAGTGACTTGTATAAAATATATAAACTGATATAAAGAAACAAACCAGTGGACTGAAAAGGGGTTTTTAAAAGCACACTCCTTTCTCCTTAAAATTACTTTAAGAATTTCAAAGAACTACAGAATGGTTGCGGTCAGAAGGGACCTCTGGAGGTCCACCAGGCAGGGTCAAGCAGGCCACCTAGAGCCGATTGCCCAGGGCTGTGTCCAGGTGGCTTCTAAGTATCTCCAAGGATGCAGACATGTATGAAACAACTTTATATTTTAGATCACGTTTGCCCTAACACTAGCACTTCAGCTCCAGGAAGACACTATGTTGAAATGATACTCACCATTGTACAGAGAACCTCCTTCAGCATACTCCATAACAAGACACACCTTTGGGGGGGAAGAGGGGACAAAAAATAGGTATGTTTTAAATGTAGGGGCGGAAAACAGCTTTGGTAAACTGAAAGGAAAGTTCTTTGAGAGGAACTGCAAAGTCTCCATACCTAAGCTAATGGAAAATTTATCTATGAGGTAAAGAGTCAGTCTGAATGGTACATGTTTACGTGTAAGAAACAGAAAACAGTTTTATACTTAGTTCCCACTGTAAGTTAGGAAAGAAGAGAATGACCTCCCCCCCAGTCTTGAAAAGCAAATGCTGTCTTCAAACTGCAAGTCATTTGCCTTTTTTTTTTTTTTAGTGGCTTACAAAAAATTTTAAATACCACGTCAAAAGAATTTCACTAGTACTAAGGAAAAAGGGATGCAGCATTATTTTAACCAATAGCCCATACTAGAATTAGCTAAGGATACATCTGTCCTGTCACAGTACTTGCTTTTCTGCTTTAAGAATTTGTGGGACTGTTTGCAGCTGTAGCAGAAAGAAAGCAAATCCTGAAAATTGCATATATGAGAATAGGAACTGATTTACAAGCTATGAATCATGTGTTGCTAATGTATTTTCTTTTTCGTATTGCTGATTTGCAATTAATAGGACTGTAGATATGAATGACAGTACATCAATACACCAAATTAATAGGACTGTAGATATGAATGACAGTACATATGCAATACACCAGATGCTGTTCTGACAAACTGAAGTATAATCAGTGTTTAGAAACAGCATTTGGGGTTTTCTTGAAAGAATTTATTTCTCATAGCAGGGGAAAGAAGAAACAAAAACCTGAAAATATCAACCAACCTATCTGTATATTTCCTTATTATGGCTAAAACATACAAAAATATATATATATTTATATGTATATATAAAATACACTTTTTTGTATATAAAATACACATTTTGTGCATTGATGCTTGCATATGTTAAGCTAGACACCTTTTGTCATACTGACAAATCTATAACTTACTGGGTTTAGACAGGCTCCATATAACTTGACAATATTGGGATGGTTTACTCGCGACAGTTGTCGAAGCTGCAATACAAATCACACTTCATTTCAAACCATGGGAAAAAAAGGCTACTGCTTTATTTTCACATCTATAATTCATACACCACAACAGCAATTACAGTTTTATATATCTGCATAAGCCTAGATGGTGATTTTAGGAATTACAAGACTAATATCCCTGTTTGCATTTTAATTTATTAATTAGGTTTGTGTCTAACTGGAACTGTATTTAAAAGAAATTTTAAGGAAATTAAATTTAAAGAAAATATTTTTTTCATGGTGTAGTAAAAATCACTCAAGTCATAAACACTGTGCAACTACGACCTCTATAGGTTCAGTGCTCTTCCTGGAGCCTCCAATTTTGGAATCCCGATTGTCTGACTTCATAAACAATCTGAATCATATTGGCTTTATTCACAATACAGAAAATTACTGTTCTTAAAAAAAAAAAAAACAAACCACACCAAAAAACCCAAACAAACAAAAACAAACCAAAAAAACCAAACCAAAACCACAAATAAGCCAGCCAGTTTAGTATTAATGTGACATTGTTCCAAGAACCTACTGCTGCTCGTACTAATTGACGATCAGACTATTTTGCACAGAATTCTTCTTTACCAGTAGGTAGTAGAAGAGAAGGAAAAATGATTTTTTTTCCCTTTACACAGACTTCTGGGGCTGCTTATGCTGTTCATTCTCTAGGGAGCTAATGTTATTTTTTTTTTTTACACTTCAGCAGTTCTAAAAAACCAGAATGGAGTATCACAACTGATGCTTGCACTTTGCAGAGTTTCCTGAATCCCAGTAATTACTGGACGTATTTCTGGGTTTATCTTCTCAGATCTCTTTCAAACACAAAAATGCTAAGAGACTGATCAGATCTGCTCAGTATTAAATTAGACTCAGATTAATAACATTAAAAACTTTCCATGGCAACGAACGACACATAAATACTTACACAGAGAGGCCTATTACAAACATGCTTCCTTTAACCCTTCAGTGTGTTACATATTTAGTTCCAAAATTAAGAGATTTATTTTTAACATATTTCGTATATCTTGAACATCCTAGATTCTTACTGACTAAATACGAAGCAGCATGTCACAATATATCGCATTTAAATAACATGGCTAACTTTTGATCCTAGAAAATGTTATGTATCTTGGGAAGTTTATCGGTATATCTGAACTACTCAAGATCTTTCTGCAGAAGTAGACATTAATGGAAAGAACGATTGCCCTTAAATGAGTTACATGTATTAATAAACTTATATGCAAGAAAAAATAACGAAGTGATTACAACTGCTGAAAAAACTAAGAAACAGTTTCAAGTATGGACCTGACTGTATGAAGAACCTACACTGTAGCCCCTGGAAGTGTTAATCAGCTCCAGGATTTTGGTGGGTATTTCAGCTGCAGCCTGACTCCACACTGGGACAGAATCCAGGAACTAGTGTTGCCCCGACCTGTGTGCCCTCCTCTCTCCCCCCTTGCCTTCCACTTTTCATGGGAAGCGAACTAAAGCAGCTGCAATGTGCTCTGGCAGGTGTCCTGCTCTGCATGACAAGGGGTTCAGGCCTGTACTGGGTACCACAGGCTGCATTTACCTTGCAATACAGACATAGCTTTTAGTACACTAAATACACCTATGAATTTAAGAAAACAAGCTCTACCAAACCCCATGTTTTCCAGCAAACTTACCATACCTCTACAATGAAGGCTTTTCTTTCAGATTCACTTTCTATTTGTTTAATGGCTACATCTTTAGCTCGCCATTTTGCCTTGCAGACCACACCAAAGGCTCCTCTTCCAACAACCTAGAACAAGATAATATGAAACACTTGAGTTAAAACTTGAAATGGTTTCTTTTGCTGTGCAGGACTTCACAAACAGAAAAGGAATTTACCTTAGAAAACTAAAGACACACAGAATCGTGTTTTGCAGCAGCAATTTAATATTATGCCGTCAAAGCATGACTGGAGCTTAGCTGAGCTTCCTCCAGAGATCATTTACGGAAGAAACAGGAAAACACACATACAAAACAATTTATTATTAACATACAGTATTTCAGAAAAACATGATCTTAATTATTTCAAACAAGATCTGTTCAGAGGAAAATTAGGGGAATGATGGCAAATTTATTTTTGTAGATTTGACCAGTGAAATTGTATCTATCTGCCGTATTCGTTTATGCTTGCTAGTAATAGGAATTCAAAATTCTGAAATTTAAATGCATATGCAAACAATTACACAGGACTATGCTGAAGTCTGGATGAGGTGTTCAATGTGCTCAAACTTATCCTTCCATTTTCTCACAAATGCCTCAACAGTGTAAGAACAGTAAATTCTCCTGAGCATCCTCCAAATAAGCAGTGTCTGTATAAACTATGCTTTCTCTATTTTTGTTGATGTCCGCTTTCTAGTTTATTTGGAATGAACATTGCCTAAAAATACACAAAACTAGACATGAGTCATAACTCTTCACTGTAACTTCACAGAAGCAGTAGTAGCTATTATTCAAGAATCCTTTAGCGTTTGCTGTGAAGAAACTCTAACACCACCACTATTTGGAGTAGTTCTTTGAAACCAAGCACGCAAATGAAAGCGGGATAGAGAGAAGTGTCCTTTTTCTATGACGTCACTTTCAGTTACTGCTGAGTTATAAATGACAGTAAATTGAAATTTCACTTCTTTTAATTGTTCTTCAGGGAAAAATGGCAACATACAGAAGTAACAACGAGACATGCACATGCAGTGTCAAGCTGAAACTAGAGTGTCACCAAAACAGTGACTCTAGCTGCTACAGGAAAACACAAGCAAGTTGTTACACATATGCCCAAAAGAAAGGTGGAGAGGAGGAGGAAATGGAAGGCACACAAAGGCACAGAAGCAGCTAAGGAATAAGAACTCCTCCAGCTCCAAAAAAATGCAAGGCAGGGCAGATGAGAAGGATGGGGGCGGGAAGAAATGGACAAGGGGCTAGGTGGGCTGGTCTTGGATTCTGTATTTGGCCCTAGCAGCCTTCCTTCACCATTGGTTTTAACAGCATTCTGTGCTCGTGTTCCTAGTCCTTGATTTCAAGTAGTATCATATGTATCCTGAGGAACAAACCAGACACTTCTAATGAAATAAAAACTTTTTTGGGAGGTGAATGAGAAAAGAAGGGAAAGGAAGGGGAGTAGGGAGAGGGTGGAGTGGAAGCATTTACAAATGTGATTACCATAGCAGTTTATTATGGCAAAATTTAAATTTTACTGTCTTCCTTAAATGGGTAATGCACGCACATGAATATTATTTTGCATGGAAAAACACGCTTCCCAAAATTACAAAGCTCTTCACTAGAAAGTCATAGTTATTTATGACTTTATCCAGTAAAAAAGGGGAAAATTGGGGGGGGGGGGGGGGGGGGGAGAGGAATATTCAAAATTAAAATATAGAGATGCAACATAATTAAAGGACCCACAAAATGTTCAAACATAATATTGCATCCACATTATAAACAGTACACTGATTCTTATAGGTTCACCAGTGAATTCACCTCTGAACAGGATGGTTTCTTAAAAGAAAAGTGTGATTTGTAGGAGATCAGTGAATAACCACACATTCCCAATGCTGAAACAATGCAAACTGCCTGCTGTCTGAATGCTCATCCTTTGAGGAAATAACATTTAATAATTTTACCTCTTTTTTTGAGATGCCCCCCAATATAGTAATAATCCGGAACGTAAATTAAGAGTGCTGATCCAGAGAAGGCAACTCAGCAGCCAGGAATGTACAAGCACCAGACTGTACTTGTCAAGGCTCCCTGTCAAAGCAAACTGACTATCATGTATGTAAACCACGGGTTAGGTTCTCACTACACGCTTTCCTAATAAATAAATAAATAGTGAAGCTGATTTCCCTGAGAACAGGGTAGATAAGGCTGCAGGTGCATAGCTTAAGACCTGCTAAACTTTCATGCTGAATATGAAAAAGTCTGCAATCAGGGGCTCAATTTAAGGAGGGGAAAAATATAAATTAAAAAAATAATCAAGATTTTGCATTAAGAAAGATGAGAAAAGGGGAAGTATGCTCAATATTTTTGTAAGGTTACATATGGATATGAGAGATGGCTGCCCAGGAATGGTGATCAATGGCATTTTCCTCTTCTAGTTTCCTCAATGCACACAAAGAAGTATTTTTCTCTTTTACATTACAGCATGCACTTAGCCTTCTAGAATCTCCTGGCTTCTCACCCTCCACAACAGTGGTTCACAGACTGAGTCCACCACAAGATATCCACAGCAGATCCACAGAACATGCCCCGTTCTGCCCCATGTAAAAAGGGACCTCCTGATTGTAACCTCCTCCCCCAGCTACAGTATAGGGCCTTGACTCTCCTCTTGATATAACACACACCAACTATTTTCTTGCAGTCCACAACTGAGATTGGAAACACAAACCCATATGAATGATAGTCAAGCAGCCTACGAAAATAGTACATCCAAACAAATTGGAAACAGTGAGTCGCCTGAAGACCTAAAAGTCCCAAATAGTCTCCCTTGGTATTTCCTCTTCTCTCTCAGACCACGTTTTGAATAAATTTGCCCAATTTCTTGGGGTTGGCAGGCCCCCCACCTTCTTCTGCTGGCACAAGAGAGTTGTCCATTACAACCCCTCTTACCCACCTCCCACAGCACATGACCAGACCTACAGTTTAAGAAAAATCTCATCAGTCTGCATGTGTGCCATAAGTCTGCATTTCACAGAAGTGCTGATGTACTGAGCACATGGAAAACATCCACTGTGCAAGCACATGTAGCCCAGATAGCAGCCTGCTCACACCTGAGAAGTACTAAGGGCAGACAGGTAACGAGAGAAGGATGCCACAGAGCAACTCGCGCAGGACAAACTGCAGCAAATCAAGGTCTGCTGCTCCCCTACAATATGGAGGAGCCCAAACTGGTCAAGTAACTAGGAAGAACTCTTCCCTCCACTTAGGGAAAAGGAGGCATGCATATAATGATTTCTCCTAGCTGGATACAATTGGCCTTATGGCACAAGGCTGAGTGAGACTCCTTTTAGAAGGCTCCTTTTCTCAATGTACCTTTTCTCACACTCTTTCACAGTTTTTGACTACGGCTCTGTTACATTTAATTCAGCGACACTGGAAAAAAATTGCTATTTGAAAACTGAGCATATATGTCAGTTAAAAGATTGGTCTCTAATACGTCTGATAAAATTTAATGAAGCATTTTTTTTTTTTTTTGTTACTCAGCCTGAATCATTTACAGCAGTTTGTGATGGATCAGGCTTACTTTTTTTGGCTAGTCATATCTTTCCTTGCTGAAAAGACTTGTATATGTCCATATGTACAAATATATTGTATGTATTACAGACAAAATTTTAATATTATGACTATAAAATATATCTTACATATATTTTTATATTAAATATATTTATTTTCCACATGTATATAAAAATAAAATTACATATATAACAAAAAAAAGAAAGCCCAAGTATCTCTTGCATTTGATTCCACATGGTCAAATTCAGCCCATAAGCCAATACAATTGCATACTGTTCCCCTGAAAATCAATCCATCACTAGTTTTTGCAAGTTTAATACAAGAATTGGTACATATATTTCCAGTTCATATACTAGAGAAACCATTATTTTTCATTTTTGCTGTATTTTTAAATAACATTTCTATTCAATGAAGAAACTAAGATAAACAAGTGTACCACCCAGTGTGATGTTTTACATTGTGCCATGAATGTCACAATGCTTGGGCTCAAGTTGAAAAGTGGAATAAACTCCAAGAATCAGATGCACTTTATGAAGTCCTGCTGATGACTGAAAAAAACCCCCGCAGAAGTAAAATCAGTGTCAGGCACCAATAGGAAGCTTGCCAGGCAATCTAAATCTTAATTACGCAATAGAAAGCTGTGAGAGACCATCAGATATAGAAATTTTATGGTTGGTGAGAGGAGTTTGATAAATGACTATGCAGTCAAGGTTTCATAACAATTCATCAGTGACTTGGTGCCTGCTTAGGCAGAGGGTTGAACTTGAGAAGAGGACACGAATGCACTGAATATTTACCTAGGATACAGGGAAAACAGAGAAGAGCCGATCCTCCATTAAAGCAGCTCAGCCTCTTGGACAGCATACGAAAGGAGCAACCATCAGAAGCAATGACGGATCTGATACAAACTTTTAAACAAAGTTTACCACATGTGAAAGCCCAGTATGTCTTTCCTACTTAATCTGGAAAAAGTATCTTACTTATTGTAAAAACATCCTTTATAATCGACAGAATGGAGCTTGTGGTGGATTCCACTTACATTTCATTTTCTTCCTTTAAGTTTTCACTTATTCTTTAAAGGAGTAAGTCTTAGAATTTGTCAGAACAGTTTAAACACTACGTAGTTTCCTTCAACACTGTGCTGGAACTAAGTAACTTAATAGCACAGGAGGGAGGCGCTGCCTGAACTTTAGTTTCTTCACACTCATTCCTTCTTGTCCCCTGCTGTTGGTGCCACACCATATGTTTGGGCAGTAGTGCATATTCCGAATTATATGAAGCACAGTTAATGGAATTATTGACACAACAAATCAATAAACAGAAGTTGATCTGTAGCACTGTGTATGTTTGGAAAATGATCTAAAAATAAACACATTCTTTTGGTAAAAGATTTTATCCCTCTAAATATCTTCTAGGAGAAAAAGGGAAAATACAGGGCAGATGACACGTTTAGAAATAGAACACCAGTGCTTCTACTTTTCCACAGAATAGAATTAAGTTTGTCAAGAACCACTCGGTTAGTACATGACA